GCATGGTCAGCTCCTGAGCTCTGCTTCACATCTGCTAGGTTGTTAACTGGTTTTCTTTCACTGCCTTTCCCACCACCTCCCGCTTTCCTGGGCACTCTGCTTTGAGTTGTAGGCAGGAGGTGTGCAGAGGTTGATCCATAATTCCTCACCTTCAAGGTAATAGAGGGCAGCCTGTGCTGAGCCTGGGCATCTTGCAATCTGGGGAGGTTTCGATTCTCGATAAGTCCCTGTAAGAAACCCCTGGATGCTCAAGGGCTGTGCTTTCACAACCAAAGGGAGAGTTGCAACCTCCATCCGGAGGAGTGGCCCTTTTACCAGGTGATATCCATCTTGGAGAGAGGGAGAAAGAGGAGAGGGTAGGTGGTGAGTAGGAAAAGAGGTATCACTGCAGGTGGCTGTTGAGTAGTCCTGTGATACAGTGAGCAGAAGACACCCAAGGAATTGTCCTGACATGAGCTGCCCTGAATTGCCCCAAAGAGTTCACACCGGGCACTGTTTTCCTTTACAGCAGGTTGAATCCTTTACACTGAGGATTTCCCAAGCCAGGAGCTCTCCAGGCAGAGAGCTGTGTCTCACTGGTAAAACCCTGCCAAGGAGATCCCTCGGTGATGTTGGCCTGTGACGTTTGTTAGCGGAGCAGGTGGAAGGAGCCCTGAGGCCCAGAGGCTGTTCCAGGGTGGCTCCTCTGGGCAGAGGTCAGCATCACCAAGCTGACTCAAAGCACTTTGGAGGTGCAACTTTTAGAGATATCAAAGGAAGGAGCAAAACTGACTCCAGTGCTGCCTGAACTGCTCATCTTCCAGGTGTTTTGGGTACTAGCCTACCTCCACCTGAGCTCATGCTGCCAGCCTTAGCCAAGCTCACACTGACTTCTGCAGCCCTTTTGGAGTTGCCGAAGGTTGGGCTCCTGTTATCTGCTGAACTTGAGTTTTCTTTCAGCTTCGCATCTCCATGGGTGGAGGTGCAGAAGGAGGATGGGATGCTGAGATGGCCTGGGATCTCCAGGCTCAAGCATCCAGTTGCTCGAGTCCTGGGAGGTTCGTGCGTCACTGCTGCTGAAATCCCCAGCCAGGAGGGCTGGGAGAGGCAGGGATCATCCTAAACAAAAACAAGGCGCCGGCTGGGCTGCCAGCATTGCAAAAGGACATTTCACCTGCTTCATCCTTCTTGGTGGCATAGGCAGGGAGAGCCTCAGTGCAGGGGGGCTCAAGCTGCTGCAGCTGGGGACAAACACCTCACCGGGCTCAGGGACCACAAACCCACACCAGTGATGACAGCGCAGTGTCAGCCCAATGACAGCACTCCTTGAAATCCCCACGTGTCCCCTTGGTGATGACAGCACGGAGCTGGCTGGGCTGCAGTGCCCCTCTGGATGCCGACCTGAGGTCCTGGGGAGGAGCACACGGGTGTGGGGGTGACGGTGCCCCACGCGAGGTGCAGCAGCTTGGCCAGGATGCACAGAGAGGCACGGGGAGAGCGGACAGCAGTGAGGGGATGCGGCAGGGACCACGGCTTCCCCTGCGGTGAGCTGCACCTGCTCCTCATCCTTGCCGCGGGCACGGCAGCGGAGCGGAGCACGGCAGCGGAGGTGTCGCAGCCGTGTCCCCCGGCCCAGGGACAGCCTGCACCCCGCAGCAGCTCCGGCCGAGGCGATGGGCAGGGGCACGGCGGCGGAGCGGGGCAGCCGGGCCGGGCTGGTTCACACGCGGAGCCGGGCCGGGCTGCCGTGGGAAAGCGCGCCCGCCATGGCTCCCGAGCGCCGGATTGCTTCAGCGGGGGTGCAGCCAAGATCCATTTCACAGAGGGCAGAGCAGATCTCGGCTGGGATTTACCAGTGACTAAGCATGTGCTGGCACAGGCTGCCCCAGCGTGAGAAAGGCAGGGCTCCTCCTCCGAGGTGTGCCCGCTGCTGCCCTGCACCCACCGCCCCGGGGCACGGCACCCTGCTGCGCCACGGGGACACCGGGGTCAGGGGACTGGGTGGCACTCAGAGCCTGTGGGGGCTGCAACCCCCCAGTCCTCTCCTCCCAAGCGGGATTCTGCCCTTTCCTCATCCCTGAGGCCAGGCAGAGCATTCAGCCTCATTCTGCTGATGGCGCGAGCAGAGCCCCTGCGTCCAGCCCACTCAGCACATCAGCCCCCAGGCAGGATTGAGGCGTGGGCAGAAGCTGTCACCCCCACCCCAAGCCTAGCACGGGGGCTGGGAGGACCCCGAGATGTTACAGAGATGCCAAACCCTTCTCTGTCAGGTCATGGCCACTGTTCACAGCAGTTGCACCACAGGCAGTGTTCCAAGATGCTGCCATCTCCTGCTTAATTCACCTCATGAAGATTTTTTGGGCCACAACTAATCCTACCATGATGGCTCTGTAGAAACCAAACTTTTCTGAGAAGAAATAACCATTCCTTCTCCAGCAGATAGGCTCCCCACTTTCCTTCCCTATATACAAAAGATCCACCAAAAAAACAGTTCCACATCCCCAGGAGCCAAGCATCAAGTCCGAGGCCACCACTGGTCCCTGCAAAGCAGCCATGCAGCCCAGCCTGTGGAAGTGGCAGCCTTCCCCGCTCTCTCTTTTGGCTCATTTTGGCAAGGCATTAAAAAAATTTATTGCAATTTTTTTATTACAGCTAATTGGTGCTGCTGCTTAAGTGGCTTATCTGCCTCCTGAGCTCGTACTCTGTTTTTGGGAAGCTGAATGTGGTGAAGGCCCTATGGGGGTGGCATGGGGCACAGAGCCTCTTGGCAGCACCCAGCAGCCTCAGAGAGTGGAAAATGCGAGGATACTCCTGTGCTGCTGGGCATTTCTGACCCACGGAGTGAATTGCCCCTAATTCACAACAATCATGAATTTTAGAGAAGCGGAGAAATTCGTGCAAGGTCACTCTGTGCATCCAAGCAGGACAAGAAGCCTGTGCCCAGCATGCTCACACTGCTGCCCAATAACCTGGTGGGCTCCAAGCTGCCAGGATTGGGCATCCTGGGGGATTTGGTGTGTGACAGAGGGCAGAGGAGCCCCTATGTGTCCATGCCAGCAGGGAGGGCAGAGGAGGAGGGTGTCCTTGGGCCATGCTGCACCCTCCTGGCTGGCAGTTCAATGGACAGCTGGTCTGGGAGCTTCCTGGAAACCTCTGACTCTCCAGTGCTGCCACCATACCCAAGAGGTACCATCCCCCACCCCTGCAGGCTCCACATCCCTCTTCAGCAATGCAGCCCATTGTCAGCATCATGGGGAGTGGGGCAAGCACATGTCCCCAGCAACAGCCCATCCCTTCTGCCTGCTGCAATCCCACCTGTGGGGGTGTGGGTACCTGTTGGGGGGTGGCATCTCGGCTCTAGGTCCAGCCTGTGCAAGCTGGGATGTCCTCAGGCCTCAAAGGGACCATCCAATGTCTGGTCAGGCTCTGCAGAAATTCAGGTTCCCACAAATCACAGCGTCATTCTGCTTCCCTGGGCTTTCACCATGCATTTCCCAGGTCCCTGGGTTTGAGGGTGAGACCGAGGAGGGCTTTGCCTGCTCAGGGCAGGGGGACATGCTCAGCCCCCCTTGGTATCAGCGCTCTCATCTTGCCCCCAGCATGGGCAAGGAGCAGTGCAGGGCTCTGTCCCAAATTGCTCGCAGGGTTGTTCCCTGATGTGGCTGTAAAATCCCCTTTTAAAAGTGATGCAGTGTTTCCCATGTCATTTGGGTGCTCCCAATATCACCCCTTGTCCATCTCTGTCTGCTGTCCGTGCTGCTGCTCTGCAGGGCTGGAGCAGTGGGGCCTCAGGGACCTAAGCCCAGGTGTCCTTCCTGGCCGAAAGGCTGAGGAGGTGTGCTGGGATGGGGGTAATGGGGAGTGTGTGCTGGTTTTGTGGAGGCTGCCAGTGGGAATCATCTCATGCTGCAAGGCAGAGCCTTGCATGGTGGCAAGCTCATTTCCAAACAAATCAGCCTGCCCTGTTCCTCCTGCAGGCAGCTGTGTGTGAGTAGGGCCATCACTGCCCCATGCCATGAACCCAGCATTGCTCAGCCCCAAACCAGCAGAGTGGCTGCCAGCCCACACCAGGGCCTGGCTGGGAGCTGGAAAAACCTTTCTGGTTTCAACAGGCTCTGGAGCAAAGCCCCTGGCAGGGAACTGACTTGTTCTGGTTAGTGAAGTTGCTCACCTCTCTCCCTCCTTGCCTTGGGTGCAGTGTGCTTGGAATGCTCTGCCAGCAGCAAACAGCCCCTAAAAACAAACAGCTGACAAAAGGTGTTGTGGCACATCCCAACAACCAGCTCCCGGCCCAGGAGGGAGGGCAGAGGAGAGCGAAGGTGTCAGGGAGCCGCTGCGAGGCTCCCGGGGAGCTTTAGTGCTGCTCACTCTGAGCAAGTGTGTTCGGCTGCCAGCTGCACCCTGTGCTTAGCCCCAGGCTCCATCCCTGGGTGCTCCTCAACAGTGGGATTTAGGGAGCTTTTTGGGGTCCAGCACCTGGCACATATGGGCACTCAGAGACCTGTCTGGGTACACTTTGGCAAACAAAAGGTGGGGTAGAAAGTGTTCACAGTGTTCACAGTGCTGCAGCAGAGCCAAGCCAAGCAGAGCCAGAGCCCAGAGTGTTTTGGGGTCCACAGCCATCATCCCCAGCGTCTGTCAGACAAGAGAGATCAAATCTTGAATTCACAACCAAGACTCTGGGCATCTGCTTGATGCTTTAAGGCAGCCTCATTGCTGGAGTTTTCTGGCCAGAGCCAGGGTGGGCAGCAGTGCTGGCAGCCTGACTGGAGACATGGCTGAGCACACACAGAGGGAGTACCTCTGGAGGCGGTTCTTGGGCTTGTGGCCGGTACCTGTGCCTGTCCTTGCTCAGTGGGACAGGCCTTGTCCTGGTTTCCGTGCTGTGGTGCACGTGGTTGGGGCTACCCAACCTGTGCCAGGGGTGCCCAGCATGAGTCTGTGCCCTGGGCAGGCAGGAGGTGCCCAGGGAGCACAATGGCCGTGTCACTGACCTCCTCCTATCTCTTCTCTTCTCTCAGGTGTGCAATTGCAACAAGTACCTGAGGGTCTCACGGGAGGGGATGAAGCAGCTGGTCGAGAGCAGCAGACAAGAGTCAGGGGAGCACAGTGCAGGTGAGTGGGTGGGTGATCCCCCCTCCTGTGCCCTTCCCTGGGACTCGCTGCCCTGCACAGAGCGGGACCAACCCCCTGGGCCTGGGGTCTCTCAGAAGGGGATTGGAGCGCCCTGCCACGGGGTGCAGACCCATAGAGCTCTTTCAGGTCTGGTTTATGTCTCTGCCCTGGCAGCCCTGTCCTGCCCTGCAAGGCACAGGGTCATGCATGGGACTGCCCAGCCCGGGGAGATGGTGACATGTCAACAGTAGCTCAAGTGACAGCCCAAGGCCTTCATCATCTGAACGTGAAAAACTCAGCTTGCGTGGTGAAATGCCTCCTGGCTGGGGCTGCTCACAGTGCCTTCCTCACCTGCCCAGTGCCTCATGAATTAGGTCAGGCTGCAGGGAGGTGAGTCAGTGCTGCCTGCCCAGCCAGGCTCCAGCGGGCTCTGGGGAGAGAAGGCTCCTCCGTACCCCAAGCCGCATTGCCCCACACACACTCCTTCCCACAGGGAGACGCATTTTGGTGGCAAATGCCACCCATCACAGGCACACGGGAATGGGAATGTTCCCCTGCTGCAGCTCCAGCCCAGCCTGGGCTCTGCCCCAGCCCTTGGGAGCATCACCTCCTGGTGTGCTGGCAGCAGGGAGCAGAGGGAGGTAGCGGCTGCGGGGTGCTCCTGGCTGGCTGTGGCTTTGCTGGGAGCTGCACGTGCAGCTCTGGGCATGAGGAACGTGGTGGGGCAGCTTTTCCCATGGTGCCGGCAGCCTGGGAGCGCTGCGCTTCCCCAGAGGCCGGGACATCCTCCCCAGCGGTTTCTCTGGTGAGGGCACTCTCTGCGTGTGTACCCAGCGACCAGACGGGCCAGTTCAGCCAGTTTCAGAGTATGGGAAATAGAAATGCTGTGGTTTGTGTTGAGTGAGCCGTTTCCCCTTCCCCCCTTCGGGATGGGGCTGATGGAGCTGGGAGGGTCTCACACAGCACCGTGGCTCCCCCACACAGACTCTTTCAGACCTTGGTCTACTCTTCACACTCCATCTGCAACACCCTGTGTCCCCATCGGGCCATGCAGTCTCCTGCTGGGTCCCCCATGTACCTTGGGGGGTTCCTGGGGAAGGAGCAGGTGGGACCCCTGTGCTGGTCATGTCACTCATGGCTTTGTCGGGGGTGTCCTCCAGTGGGGAGCATCCCCTGCCCCGGAGCAGGCAGGGGCAGGGACCAACGGTGCCACAGCATCCCCAGAGGGTTGGTGGAGACATGAGACAGAAGCTGTGATTCCCAGACAGGTGGGCACAGCAGGGCTGGAGACTTGCCAGTAGACTTCCCTGTGACACAGGGCTCTGACCCCATCCTGGGAATTCCATTTCTGTTTGGATTTTGCTAGGAGCTGCAGTAATTGCAAGTATGAGCTTTACTAGGTTGTCCCTTAGGTCAGATATTCAGGAAGACAAATAGGAAGGGTTTGCTGACAGTGTTCTGGCAACGCTTGGTGGGGACATTGGAACAGACTGGGCAGCCACAGGATTGGGTCAATAAGAAAAATCTCACCTATTCCCTGATTTCCTTTACATTTTCCTGCTGACAGAGTTGGTGACAGGACCTGTTCTGCCCTTGTCATGGCACAACACATGGCATGGGGGTGTTCAGCACCCACAGCCCCCAACAGCACTGTCCCCTGTCCCATGACTCCAGCCCAGGCCATGTTGTCCCTGTCATGCCCCTGTGCATGGCTCAGACCATGGCCAGGTGCTGCTGCTTGGGAAGAAAATGCCTTTTCCCTGCTCCTGCTTCCAGGAAAGGAGGGAACCTCTTCCCACAAGGGCCTCACCTCTCCAGGGAGGAGCTAGTGGGTGCTGGGGCAGATGGGTGATGGGGACAGATCCTTCAGGACCACCTCTCAACACAAGTCTGCATCTGGCCCAGGTGCTCCCAAGTCCTGGTGTCCAGCTGCAGCCAGTGCTGCTTCCTTTGGTTCCTGGATTTTTGTAGCAGGGCTTCCAAGTGATGAAAGGCCAATTATTTATCCTGTAATAGTCACTCTTACTTTCCTAGGACTTTCACAGGTTTTAGGGAACATAATCCTTAACACAGCCACATTTTTCCCTGCATGAGGGTTTTGACAGAAGTGCTGCAAATAGTTTCAAGCCCAGACGCTTTGCCCTGTGATTTCCCAGTGGGCTGCTCTGAGCAGCTCAGGTGCCTGGAGCAGACAGGGGCAGAGAGGGGAGCAGGGCTGTGGGTCACCACGGGGCACAGGCAAGTCCTCACTGGAGGCAGTGACAGATTGTGGCTCCCAAGTGACCCAGGGGAATGGGCTGTGTCACAGGCTTTTGTGTGGTATGGGGAACTCTTGCTTAGTCAGTGCAGTAAAACCAGCTGGCATGGGACCCCAGAGTTCAGTGGGTGCTCTGCCAGATGAAATCTGGCCTCTGGAAAAGGAGAGGATGTAGCACATTCCATCAGGTTGGGAGCTGCCAAACAGAGGACATGAATTTAATTGCAAAATCTCCCTTCACCATCTAAAATGTGCTGCAAAAGATAAAAAAAAAAAAAAAAAGAAAAAAAAAAAAGAAAAAAAAAAGAAAAAAAAAAAAAGAAGAAAAAAAAAAAGATCCTCCTGCTTGCTGACCAGGCAGGGTGCAGCCTCCACTCCCATGCTGGGTGGGCACCCTCTCTGACCAGCTGCCAGCACTGGGGCTCTGGACACAGGTGCAGGATAAGTCCCCGATGGCCCCAGCAGTGGCTGGAGGAGCAGCCAGAGTGTCCCTGCACTGGGTGGCAGGATGGCATCAGGCAGTTGGGACACTCACCTTGCCCCTGCCAGCCTGAGCAGTGACTTGGGATTTCTTTCCCTCAGCTCCAGTCCGAGCCTGGGGAAAAGCCAGCAGAGATGGCTCAAGGCAGGCTGGAGGCTGCAGGCCAGTGTGGGGAAGGCTGGGGTGGCAGAAGGACAGTCCCTCCTCTACAGCCACCACACTGGGGCAGCTGAGGGCATGGGCTGGTGGGACCCACTTGCCCTAGCCAGGAACTCTGATGGACATCAAGAAGAGACCCCTGCATGCCCAAAGCCCTACGGCTGGAGGCTTCCCTGATCTACAGCATTTGGCTTTGCTGTGAGCATCACACTTGTCTTGTTGCCATGTGGGAAAGATGTGAGATCGATCCTTGTGCTGTCCCAGGAGTATTCTTGCACCCATGGATCCTCACTGCTTTCTACCAAACTCCATTTGTGGTGCCAAGGCACCCCCATTGTCTTAGGCTGCCCTGAATACTTCTCCATGGAAGGGGATGAGTTCCTGAGGGGTTGCACCCCTGGATCCAGGGGATCCCCTGCCCAGCTGCCCCATGCATTTAGGCTCTCTCTTCTCCAGGGTGCAACAGAATAACAGGAGCATCTTCACCTGCCCAAGCAGGGCAGTGATGGGACCGGGGGCTGCAGTGGTGAGACCAGCCAGAAACACCCACCAGGCTCAGCTGGGTCGTGCTCTGCCAGCTTTCCCTCTTCAGTGGAATTCATTTGCTCATATGGAAAAGCAGGGCAGGGCTGGGACCCGGCAGCATTTTTGTGTGTGCTGGTTTGCAGAGCTCTGCTGTGCCTGCTGACAGGGGCACTGTGCCCAGCGTGCCCCAGGAAGGAGCTGGGGGCATTCAGAGCCAGGGGCCACTGCGTGCTGCTGCCCAGCCCTGGGTACAGGCGCTGGCAGAGTTCTCTCAACAGCGGCACGGGGCCATGAGAGCAGCTGGATCTGCCTCTTGCTTGAGCTCATCCTCCCTCCTCCACCCTGGGAACATCTTAAGATCACGGCCAGGCTGCTGCAGCCCAGGTTGCACAATTCCGGGTCCTTTGTCCTTTGCTTATCTGCCTTATCGAGGAGGAAAAGATAACCAGCCGTCTTCAGTGCCCTGCAATCAGCACATTTCTCAGGCTCCTAACTCCTCTTATCAGGCTGATCTCTCACCGAGGCCGAGGTTTCCCAGGCACCTTTGTACTCCAAGAATGCTCCCAGGTCTGTGTTCAGCCTTGTGCAAAGCCTCGACAAAGATGTGAGCTTTCTCCCCAGCCCCCAGCCCTGCTGCGGCTGAGCCCTGCACACAGTGGTGATGGCCCTGGCTGTGGTGGGCACAGGGCTCGGGCTGGCACAGGGCTGCCGGACCCACAGCCTCTCCAGAGGCAGCAGGAGCTGCCAAGTGTGCTTGCCTGAGCCAGCCGGGACAGGCACCCAGCTCCTCACCCCAAGGCCTTGTTTCGGGCAGGAGTGACACAGAGGGACCTGGGCTAGAAACAGGGCCCGTGGGGCAGAATTTTGGGCAGAAGTACCTGGCTTCTTGGGAAGTTGTTGGCTGCCACCCTGACGCTGAAACCCTGGGGGTGCCCAGGGCTCACACAGTGGGGACAGGTTGTTCTCGGCCAAATCAGGGCTGGGTGGGCTGGGAAAGGGGAATGGGCACAGGTTCAAAAGAGGATTGTCCTGATTCTGCTCTGTCTCATCTTTCCAAACCCTGCTGTGCCCACTTGTCCTGCTGTGGAGGTGCCGGTGCTGTCCCAGTAGTGCTGACCCAGCGTTCCAGCATTGCAGCTGACACAATAGGCTGGAGGGACTACAGGTCACCAGTGTCACCATCACGGTGGCCTTTCAATGTGACCCCCACTACAAGCCCCCTGTCCTGTCCCATGTCCACCCCACTGGGCTCAGCCCCATGTGTCCAGGAGCAGGACCTTGCAGTGGGGCACATGCAGTGCAGCTCCTGTCTCGTCCCTATCTTGGGACAAGTCACTTTGCCCCCACAGCCTCCCTGTGGCAATAGTTCTGGGGTTTTCTGGGACTACCAGAGTGATCGCAGTGGCTGTGGGTCCCAAATGCTGCCGTGTCCCCCTGGGGAAGGGACTGTTGGTCCCTTGGACTGCCCAGAGCCTGTTGAGTGCCCAGGGTGTGGGATGGGCCTCTGGCGTGGGTCTGCCCCACTGTCTTGGTGCTGGTGACTGGGGGCTGAAAGAAGGGGATCCAATCCAGGCTGGGGAGCTCCTGCTGCACCCACCTCATGGAGCATGGGCCCCCCCCACCCTGAGGCATATAGTAAGAACTTGAGCACAAAGCAGGGCTGATGCAGAGGTGACAAGTGTGTGCAGGAGTGGGATCCCACCACTGAGAGTGGCCTTGCTTAGCTCAGGAAAGAACTTGATGTAGAAATAAGCAGAATGGAGGTGCTGCAGCATCCCCTCTGCCCTGGACATGGCAGCATTTCCTGGCGGGAAGACATCATGGCAGGAAGAGCAGCAGTTTTTGCTGTTCCCATGGGATTAATCCCACAGGTGAGCAGGGGTGGGCAGGAGCTGTGAGTGGGCAGCACGTGCAAGGCCAGGAGGAGACGGCTCTTGTGCAGAGCACTGCCCAGCTGGGGACAGTGCCAGGGGACGACTGCTGCTGCCCGTGGAGCTCTGCAGCACTCACATGGGGGTGCTCAGCTCTGAGGGGCTGGGGGCTGCAGGGCTCAGCCCCTCACCCAGGCTCTGTCATCCCCAGGGTGACCCAGCCAAGCGGGGGAGAGGTAAGTGAGAGGCAAAGAGGTTTTTATTTTCAAGATGTTTTATAATGGGATTATTAGTTCCCAAGAAGTGTTTCAAATCGATTCGGTAAGGAATCGCTTTCCTTTCTCCTCCGCGGGGATGCGGTGGGAATCCAGCCTTTGGTGTGAACCTTGCAGAGCTCTGGAAGCCGGAGATCTGACAAGCTCCTGGCACACTGGAAGGATACACTGGGCTCCCCGCAGCCCCACGCACCCTGCACATGCCTTTTGCTCCAGCTCCCGTGTAACTCCGGGGTGTGCAGCAGCCAGGCAAGCGGGGATGCAGTCTCAAGAGAGACAGGGCCCCACTGGGGAGGCCTCTGCCTGTCTGAAAGGGGAGGAAAAAACCCTCCCTCAAGCCATGCCGCCCTTCCTCTGGAAACCCCTGTTTTTCTGGGGGATCCAGCCTTTCCCAGCTCAGTTTTCCCGTGTGCCCGGCTGGCATCCTGTGCCTCACGCCTGGTGGCCCTTTCACCCTGCCGGTGAGGGGAGCACAGGCATCTTCAAAAGCCCTGGGAAGAATTTGGTGGGAGGGGGAGAAAGGGTTTTACAAGCTCCCATTCAGAAATGGTCACTTTGAAGTGATGTAGCATTTTCAACCCTTTGAAGAGCCACAATTAGGAGGGGGCTGGTTGCAAGCAAAGGCAAAACTACAGGGTGACCATCACAGCCTTTCTCTCCTCAGGCTTTTAAGGGATGAACTTTCCCTCCCTGCCTGCCTTTTTCCCACGAGCCTGGCGGGTGGGATTGGGGTCTCTGGGGGAGCTGGAGGTTTCCCACCCCCTGTGCAGGGAAGGAGGGGTTTGCCATTGGCTTTGCCCATCAGCAGCAGGACAGTGGAGGGAGTGTGTTGGAAGACAGAAAATTACCCAGTATCCCTGCAGGCACACAGAATGTCCTGTCAGTGTGCTGGTGCCATGTCAGCACTCCCAGCCCGTGGGTCCTGTCAGTGTGCTGGTGCCATGTTCTGGCCAGACAAATTTTAGGTGATGCGGAAAGCCATTGGCCATGGGTGCTGCGTGCTGTCAGTGTCATTTCCATTGCTTTGGATCTAAAAGCCCCATCCAAGGTCAGTGTCCCTCCCTTCAGGGTCTGGTGCTTGAGAGCAGAGAGGATAGGAGAGAAAAGGGTGCTGAGACTGAGGCACCAAGCGCAGGAGTGGCACAGGGCCGAGGGAGGCGGGAACAGAGTGAGGACAGAGCCACTGTTCTTGCCTTGGGGATCTGCCACCCGCTGGCAGGCTTTATCCAGGAGAAACCCTTGGGAAATGGACTCTTCCTCCACATCCCTGCTCTGAGTGGCTCAGGAATCTCCCAAGAGCTTCCTGGGTGTTTCACCACTTACCAGAAATTGGAGAAAATGGGAAATTGAGGTCATTGTTTTCCCTTTAAGGATAGATGCCAGTGTCCAAAGCAGATGCAGGAAGTGAAGGAAAGGCCCATCTGTGAGTGAGGACCACGGGGCACTTGTTCAGGGCACAGCCCTGGTGAACCCAACTCTTGCCCAGGGTCTCAGACAGGGCTTGGGGATGCTTCCCCTTGTGCTGTGGCAGCAAACCCCAAACTAGTGGTTCTGCTGGGCAATGTGGTGGTGAAGGGCTGGCCTGCAAATCCCCTGTGAGAACATCCCCAGTGACAGCCATGACCCTGAGCACAGCTGTTGGTGTGCCGGGAACTGGGGGTGACTGTGCCTCACCAGCTCAGGCTGGAAATCTGCCTTGGGGAGGTGTGGAAGGTCTTGGAGGGGGTCTGGGGAACCCCCCTGAACCAGGTGCTGGTGTGAGCTGATCCTTCCACAGCTCCCCTGGGCTGTGGCTCTTTCTGCTCATGCGATGGGCAGGCCCAGACCCCGCTGCACAGCTGGGGCTGACTCTGCCAGGACGGGACAACTCTGCCAGAATGGGATAGCCGTTTCAGGGCTGTTCCCATCTGTTCGTTCCTCCACGGTAATCCCCAGCATGTCCCAGCTCCTGACGGCTCTGGAATGCAGAGAAGGGCCAGCTGGGAATGCTGGTGTCCCTCTCGGTCCCAGCTGACTCCTGACAGGGTCCCTGTGATCCTGAGAAGGGTCGGGTGGACAGCCCAGAAGTGCCACTAGAGCGATGCAGGATGCCTTTTGTTGTCTTAAGTAGTGCCCGAGCAGGACAGATCCCCCTGCCAAAACGGGGACATCCCGCAGCAATAACTGCAGCCTGTTCCCGGCTGCCAGGCTCCCTGATGGATGGGAGGCACCTCAGCCCTGGGCTTCGGCTGCCCGGGGCTGGAGCCCTGCGGTGCCCCGCTGCGGGAGCAGAGCCAGCACCGGGCGCTGCGGGCTCGGGGCTCTCGGCGTGCGGGGCAGCGCTCCGGGATGCGGCCCCGCGTCACTCAGCCCCTGCCCAGGGTACATGGCGGGGTGGGGATGGGGCCAGGCCCCGTGTGCGCGGGCAGATCGGGAGAGTCCTGGGTGCCCTTAGCAGCGATCGCGGCGGCGGTTTGATTAAAGCAGCAGTAGAGGTTTCCCTGCTGTTTGTTTGCCCCATAACGCAGCCTGGGGTGGGGGCACAGCCCTGCTCCGAGAGCAGCCTGGCCTGACCTGTGACCGGGAGGCAAAACCACCGCACCCAGAACAGCAGCGGCACCGGAGCCCTTACCCAGACTGGAACAGACCCCAAGACACGGCAAAGGAGCTGCAGGAGGTGCCAGGCAGCTGCAGGGGAGCAAGTGGCTGCACGGGTGCCACGCTTAGGGCAGGCAGCTGCTGGATGCTGGTGACCAACCACCTCCTCCCGAATTCAGGGGATGCTCCTCCCTGGGATGAAGGGCAGAGCCTGGACCCCTGCAGGGATGACAGGTCCCTCACAAGGGTTGCTTACGTGGTTCAGCACAGATTCAGCTCATCACACCAGTGACTGGTGGTTCATCTGCTGTCTCCTCTCTCCACAGGCTGCCTGGGGAGCCAGAGCTGCAGTGTCACCATGCCAGTCTGTGACACAGCCCAGCCTGGCTGCACCCCACACAGCGAGCAGGCAGAGGGGATGGAGCAGTGCGGGGCAGCTGCGGTGCTGGCAGGGGACACGGTCCTGCAGGTCACTGCCATCCCCCCCGGGGTGCTGGACAGAGCAGAGCTCACCGACTTCTACTGCTGCACCTGCTGTGGGAAAGTGTTTTGGGAAGGGTCCCATTTTGGACGCATCGTCTCCCAGTTTCAGGATGTTCTTGTGGCCTCTGGGGACACACAGAGCATCTATGAGCTGAGCTGAGCTGAGCTGAGCTGAGCTGAGTAGAAGCACAGGGGCTCCAAAGAGGAACTGGGACTGCCTGGAGAACCCCAGCAGATTTTGGGCCATGTGTTTCCAGAGAGAGGCTGGAAGTGGGGAAGTGGGAGCTCTTGTTTTGGGATCCATCATGGAGAGCTCTGTCACAGGTACACCAGTGGTTTCCAACAGCCCAAAAATACATGGTCTCCATGAGATCATTAAAGCAGAGGTGGCTGAAGAGTGGACCCTTGGCTTTATTTCTGCCCCTCTCCAAACCACACATGGCAAGATGGTGGGAGGGCTCTGCTGAACAAAACCACCACCCCAGCAGTGCCGACCCCACCACACCCACACACCCCAGTGCTCCTCTGCCCACTCACTCATGGGGAGCAGGAGCTGCATCCCCAACAGCAGCACAGGGCAGAGAGCATCCTAAGCACTCCCAGCCCGTGGGACATGTGCCAAGCCTCAACACATCCCCAGCATCCTGCTCACCCTGACCCTGCGCTCCCAGCACTCCTTGGGGGCAGCTAGTGGGCCCGGGCGTGGAGCTCTGGGGAGGCTGAGCATTGCTGGCCTCAGTGGAATCTCTGGGTGCACCACAATGCCCGCTAGCACCTGGACCCTCTCCTGCAGCCTGGGATACCCCAGCAGGGTCAGGCCGGTCCTGGAGGGGTTCCCAAAGCTGCCAACTGCCAAAGCTGCCAGCCTCCTCCTCCGCTGGGGAGGCACCTCAGCACAGCCCTGTACCCAGGCCCTGTGCAGGGTGCACAAAACAGGCAATAAGGTGTGTGGGCCCACTAATACCAGGAACTGGCATCACTGGTGGGATCGGCCAGCATCTCACCATGGAGATCCCAGCCAGGTCCTGCAGCTCCAGGGGGCTGCTGTCCGGTGCCTCCCAATCCATGGCCAGGCTCACACCATTCCATCCTGAACAGAGGAGCATCTGCAAAATTCCTCCTCTAATCTGTTTTAACTGCGAGGCCCTGCTGTTATTGCTGAGAGGGCCTGAGGAGCTCTTGGCTGAGATGTGACATTTATGAGCTAGCGAAGCACCTGCCCAGGCAGCTCATGCTGCAGTGCAGGACTCATTTTCCCTCTTCCAAAGGTCCTGGCCACATGGTACCAGAGGGTCCTTCCTCCTAGGGACATCTCACCCTCTGGCTCAATGCTTTAATAAAAGAAACAAACAATTTTTCCACTTTAAATATTCTTCTTTTCCATAAGATCCATAATATTAATGCCTGAGCATTAATTGGTACAAGTGACCCTAAAAGCCAACCATCCCCACGCTGCCAGTACCAGGCACTGAGCAACCCAAATCTCCCAGGCTCCACACAGATTCATCCTTGTGTCAGCATCCAGCTTCTTCAGGATTTGTTCTGGGAGGGCAGACACTGGGGATGAGGCAAAGCAGGAATGGTGCAGAGCCTCCAACTTCTGGCCCCCACAGTGTGCGCTGCTTCGTCATGCCATGAAATAACCCTCTTCAAAATGGGATTAACCTTTCCAGGTCCTGTTTAGGGGAAGCTGCTGAGCCACATGCACGTCTGACCACTCATGGGCACTTTTGGCCTTTGCTTGCTGGGTTTTCCAGAGCTGTGGTTTCACATTCATCTGCCACTTCTGCTGTGGAGGGGAGCGCATGCGAGATGGGGACACACAGCTATGTCCCTCACCTGGGGACAGCTGCCTAGAAGGTGCTTTTCCCTCTGATCCCTGGGGACAGTTAGCCTCCTGGTCACTCCAGGATCTTATCTGCTTGAGAGCTCTCCCAGTTTAGGGGTGAGCTCCTGTGCTTACAGTCAGGGTTGTGCTAGGTCAGGGTCCCATGGTTGGGACTTGTTCTAGGACACCAACCCAGGGCAGAATCCAGCAAGTGGTGTGTACCTGTGGACACAGCACAAAACAGCTCCTAGAGGATTCCGTCCAGCTTCTGGGGACAGGGAAAGTGGCTGGGACCCAGCACAGCACCTCTTCCTTCCTGGTGCCCACAGGAGGTGGTGCCATGGTGGGAAGTGTGCAGCAAGGTCACCTCCAATCATAGAGGTGCTGTCACAGCAAATTTGTCAACAGCAAATTCCACATCAGATGGATGCTTGAGGAGCATCCAGGAGGTAATAAATTGTCCAGTTTTGGATGGTGGATGTTAAAGGGAATTAAAACAGCTTTCTAGTCAGCCTACACTATTGTTTCCTTATCTGGCTGCTTAAAAAAAATAATTACAAAATCCCATTGTCTGTGTCATACTAATGTTTAACATTTCTTAGGGCAGTAATGAGCCCTACTTGGTTTTATGGAGCCGTTTGGTCGTGCGTGGGAAGGGCAGCTCCAGCAGTGCTGTGGCAGGGACGAGCGCTCTGGGGGGCTGCTCACTCCATGGATCCATGAGTCCATGGATCCCCCGGGTGCTTCACCTGTGCTCAGCTCCTGCCTCTGCGTGACAGAATGTGATCATGAGGGCACCCTGGGATAAAACAGCACTGAGGAAGGGTTTTATTGCTCTTTATCATGAAAGAGATCTGGCTGAGCAGCATCCATCCCTCAGCCCTGGGAAACTACACACTGCATCGGATGTCAGATGGTTCCTCTCCTCTCCTTGTGTACTCCCGCACATCCTTCAGAGTTGGACGGGGACAAGGTGTTTGACGCTCAGGCCAGCTTTAGTTTACAAATTAATATATCAACATTGTTCCTCATCAGGCAGGAATGCACTTCCCTCCCTTCTCCCCCACCTTATCCCCATCCCCTTCCAAGCAAACTTCCTTCCTCCTGTAATCTGGAGCGGAAACCTCGCCACATATTTGACCGGATCACAGAAATCAGCTCAGTGTTCCCTGGCATGACTTTGTGCCTTGAACTAGGGTTGGTTGGTCCCTAAGGCAGCCAGCAAGGCACAGGAGGAGGAGGAGGACCAGGGCTGTATCACTGCCCATCCTCATCCTGGAGCCACTCTTCCAGCCAGATGCTCCAATTGAGCTCCAGTTGCTCGGCTGCCATTTTCAAACAAATCAGTGTCTTTTTGGACACAGATTCAGCCTGAGCTGTCTGTAAGCTCCAGCCCTTGTGCTGCCCCAGACCACGGGAATGCTGCTCCCTCAGGGCAGGGCCACTGCTCACAGTGAGGGGAGAGGAGAGTGGTGGCTGGTAAGGAGGGACATTCGCATCAACCAGGGGATGTTTGCTCCCTGGGGAATAGCCTGGGACCAGACCTTTCCCATCAACCTGTCAATATGTGGGCATGACCCTTAGGCAAATGAGCTTCTATCACTCACCAGGCATGCGTCCCATGGGGGCTATGGCTGTGTCACCCCCAAGCCTGCTTAGATCCCAGGGCTGTCCCACAGGGCGCTCAGCAGGTACAGAGGCCACTTCTGGTGGGCTGTAATGAGTCTTCTGGGGGAACTGTGCAGTGGGAGCAGTGGGGTGACATATCCCCATCCTGCAGCCACCACAAAGGAGTAGCCATGCAGTGCAACCAAACAGGTTGTCCAGAGCAGCTGTGGCTGCCCCTGGATCACTGGAAGTGTCCAAAGCCAGGTTGGATGGGGCCTAGAGCACTCTGGGATAGTGGAAGGTGTCTCTGCCCATGGCAGGGGATGTGACAAGATGAGTTTTAAAGATCATTTCCAACCCAAACCAATCTGTGATTCTGTGGTAAGTAGCCCCAAGAACCATGTCTCAGGAGATGGCAATTTCCTGGCACCAAAACTCTGCACTGACACTGGATTGAATCCTGGAGCTCATTCAGATGATCCAGGACAAAATAATTATGGCCCAAAGGTGGGGAGGCTGGCCCAGGGCACATAAAACCAAGGTCTGTGTCTCCAACCAACTCTATCAGCACCTGCAAAGGTATGGTCCCTCCATGTGCCAGTTTTCTGGGACCAGAAGCCCCACAAGCAGCTGCCAGCACAGCAGGTCAGGGAAATGTGGTGGTGTCGGTTTAGCAGAACACAGGCTGGAGCCATGGCAGTTTGGAGAATGCATGCTCAATGGCCACAGGGACATCAGTCAAGGGGATGCCTCGGCATCTCCTGGCAGCACTGAGACGCTGGTGCAGCCAGAGATCGCTGCCTGTGGCATCAGGCAGGAATCCTCCAGCTCCAAGTGTGTCCCACCTGGTGGCCTTTTGTTCCAGGAGTACTTTTGTGCTGTCAGACACCGAGACCATAGGCCACCTCAGAAGAGCTGCAGCATTTCCAGCAGGATAAGGACTGACAAGATGGGGCACTGGAGTGGTTAAAGGCCGAGCTGCAGTAAGATAACCCAAACTGTACAGCACAGCACCACATCCTCCAGCCCAGGGACACCCCTGCCGGTGTGCTGTCCAGAAGACAATGACTATGTGTAGTGTTACGACCCTGCTTGAGTCTCACTCAGGTTTTAAACCCTGTTTGTCACAGGCTGGGAGGGACCATGCAGAGCAGCATCTATGGTGACATCTGTGGGAGTGGGAGTCCCCAGACCATATTCCGGCTGTGGCCTCTGTGGTGTGGGAATTCCAGGAGGATGCCCTTGTCCACAGAACTTCCCAAACTACTCATAAGAGCTTTTCTTGTGGTGCTGTGCTCCCTGCAGAGGACCCAGGGCACCCACACGTTTTCACTGCAGGAGCATGAGGTTTCCCATACAAACCCCCAGCTCTGGCCTGAGGAGCTCTGCCTGCAGGGCTGGCAGGGTCCCAGCCCACCCAGGCACAGCCTGGGTGCCACCGAAGGCTCCTGGTGTGTGATGTGTCCATGGGGAGAGCATGAGGCCAATCCCACGGCCACACTCCTGCTTGTGCAGCTCCCAGACCACACGGAGGACGTGTGTCCCCTGAGAAGCCCCTCGACGTCTTCCCCACCTCGTCCCCATAGAGATTCCCTTTCTTGTCCTCAGAGGTGAATCCGCACAAGGGAGACTGTTCCCACGCAGCGGCCACAGCCGCGGCTGGGCTACTTGCACCCGCACACCCCACATCTCCGCAGCGGGGCAGGCGGCACCGGCCGAGCCCCGCGTTTCCCGCTCGGGGCTCCGGCAGCCGCTGTGCCCGCAGCCGGGAGGCAAAGGCCGGCGTGGCCAGCGGCGGAGGAAACCCCCGCGCTTCCTGCGGCTCCGGAGCGCCGAGCGGGCAGGGCGCTCTCCTCGCACGCCTTTCGCGGCGGCTCTGCGCTGGGAAGAAAAGCTCCCGTCTTTCCCACGCTCTCCGACACATTTTAATGAATTAAGTGGGGGCACGCCCCCTCGCCGCCTGCCCCGGATCCGTCCCCCCGGCACTGCGGCTCCCTGCGAGGAGGCCTCGGGGGGTGGCTGGACTCTCGCTGCCGTCGTGTCCGCCTGGTCGGGAGGACGGGAAAGCCAGCGGCTTTCCGAAAAACACGCTGGGGATTTTTGGAAGAGGGCTGCGACGATGGCAGCCGGCCCTTCTCCCTCCCCTCACGGGCACGGGGAAATTTGGCCGTCACGTCCCCTGAGGAGGGGAAATTTGCTCCGCGCCTCTCGGCGTGACCGTTCGCTTAAGGCATCACAGCTCCGGGGCCCTTCCCCGCCTCCCGACACGTCTTCCCCTCGCCTCAGAAGCGAGCGGGTAAATCACTGGGTGGGACGGCGTTTTGAAGGGCCCCATAAAGCGAGGGCAGGGGCCTCCCAGCGCCGCCGCGGCCCCGGACAGCCCCTTCGCAGCCGGCGGGCAGCGGAGCCGCGCAGGGAGCCTGCCCCGGCCGGCACAGCGCTCCCGGTTCCTCTCCGGTTACAGAGCTGGGTACAAACTGGAGTTGAAATGCAGCTTTTCAAATCCGTCTTTTATTTCCCGTTTTATTCCCCCCTGCTTTTTCGCTCTTTCCCCTCCCTCTCTGGCCCCGTTCCCAGACCGAGTCCTGCCCCCACCTGCCAGTCCCGAATATTTGCATGGCTGGGTCCCTGCCCGCGCTCTTTTTCTCACCAGTGTCACTGGCAAACGCAGATTTGTTTGCAAGGATGTAACTCTGGCCAAGCCCCAGACCGGGGAGGTGTGAGTAATTCCCGCTCTCCCACGGCTCGCTCGCCGGCCTCTACGCCTCGCAGGATACGGCCAGTAAAGACACAAAATCAGCTGTCCCGGGATATTTAGGAGTAAATAGGAGAGAGCGAGCCAGGAAGAACGGAGTCCCGACACCCAGGCCAAGACACCTACGTCCGCAGAGCCGCCGCAGGACCCCACTCCCTTCCCTTTTCCAGCTTTGTTGTGATGGGTTTGCTGAGATTAGTGCCAGCGAACGGCCACAGGCTGCGGTGGCTCCGGTGCTCCCTGCACGCTGTTTGCACTGCCGGGCTGTGCCGGGCCCCGGGCACCACCGGAGCTCCCGGGAGTCACCGTGAGCCGCAGCACGTCCCGCCGGGCCGGCCGCTCACCGCGGCGAGCCGCCTCAGGAGACAGGACAGGGATTGCCGCTGGTGATTCCCGCTGACAGCATGGCTGGGGTGATGGGGACAGAGCCACCGCCTGCTGCCCAGCACGGGGCCCTCAGGGGGACGGGACAGAGGCAGGGGTGGCTCCTCTCCACTGTCCTCGGGACAACCTGGCTCCTGCACGGAACCTCAGAGCTTCAAGCCCTGAGCCCATCTCGGTGCCCTGTGCCAGCGCTGCAGAGGTCCCAGCGGCACAGGGACATCGTGGGAGAAGCGGCACAGGCACAGGAGAGCAAAGGGGGTCTGCAGCCCCCAGGAGTAGTAACATTCCAATCCCTCCTATTACATGAGAACGATGGACTGCAACACACCCACATTAGAGAGGTGTGAGCAGGAGAGCTCTGGCCTGGGGAAGCCAAACAGTCAGACAGAGACCAGACAGATGGAATTGGGATAAAGATTGGGATAAGGTGGGCATCGGATGGGCACAGGTGAGGAGATGGGAATGATGGGGGTGAGGTGGATGGGGATGGAGATGGGGATGGGGGTGTGCATAGGCATAGGATGAGGGTCGAGACAAGGACAAGATTGAGATGGGGAGATGGGGATGGATGTGAAGATGGGAATGGGGATGAGAACAACTAGCTGCAGAAATTGACTTAGAAAAGCAGACCCCTTATGGGAGGAGAATGAGGAGCTGCTTCAACAGGTCCTTACAGCCTAAATCTAAGTGGGATGAAAAGGACCCAGATGGGGCAGGAGTGTTTCCAGACTACTCCAGCTGCTGGGAAAAGCCACGGGAACAGGCAGTGGGGCAAGTCACACTCAGAGCTCAAGGCCACTGTCCCCCAGCTGTGCGACAGACACTCCGTGATGGCACATTTCATCGGCTGGGGCTGAATTTAGCAGTTGGCCGATTTCTCCCTTTCCCTCCCCAAAAGGACACGCCAGCAGTGCCAGCAGCTTGCCACCCAGCTGCCCCGGCGCAGCTGCTGTCACCTCGGTTTATGACACGCTCCTTCCTCTCTCCCCCCGCCCGCACCTCCCGCCCTCTCCTGCTGACCAAATGCCCGGGAGGCGGGAGCGCCGCTTCCCACCCGGACTCGCCGTTTGCTCCTGGGGACCAAACGGGAACAGGAGGAGGGTTGGGGGTGGTGGGGGCCAAAAGGCTCCCCCCGGAGGGTCGCCCCAGCAGCGGTTTTGGTTGATGCACTGCTTTCGGGATTTTTCCCCCCATTTTTTTGCCTCCCTATGGTATCCACAGCTCCCAGCACTCTCGCACCAGGAACATGGTCATCCGCTGGGCAGCAGATAAAGGCGAATTGAGCCGCTTTTCTCCCTTAAATCAATCTCACCCGTGGGTCCCTGAAACCCGGGGCAGCCCCCTGTGGGGGCCTGCAGAGGCGCTGACCCTGCGAGCCAAACGCCCCGTTCTGCTCTGTGACCTGTCCTTGTTGGCACGCGAGGACACAAACCCGCAGCAACAGGCATCACCCCAAATCGGGGGGAGCCGCAGCCCCTTGGTGGCCGTCATTCTTGCGGGTCCCAGCTGGGGGGTCCGACCCGAGCCGAGCTGAGCGGAACTGGGCCGAGCTGAGCCAGGCCGAGCCGAGCCGAGCCTAGTGGAGCCAGGCCGAGCCGAGCCGAGCCGAGCCGAGCCAGACTGAGCCGGGCCGAGCCAGGCCGAGCCGAGCCGAGCCGAGCCGGGCCGAGCCAGGCCGAGCCGAGCGGAGCCAGGCCGAGCCGAGCCGAGCCGAGCCGGGCCGAGACGAGCAGGGCTGAGCCGAGCAGGGCCGAGCCGAGCCGGGCCGAGCCGGGCCGAGCCGAGCCGAGCCGAGCCGGGCCGAGACGAGCAGGGCCGAGCCGAGCGGAGCCGAGCCGGGCCGAGCCGAGCCGAGCCGGGCCGGGCCGAGCCGAGCCGGGCCGAGCCGAGCCGAGCCGGGCCGAGCCGAGCCGGGCCGAAACGAGCCGAGCCGAGCCGAGCCGAGCCGAGCCGAGCCGAGCCGAGCCGAGCCGAGCCGAGCCGAGCCGAGCCGAGCCGAGCAGGGCCGCAGCGGGGCCGAGGCGGGAGCGCCCCCCACCGCCGCCTCCCTCCCTCGCAGCGCGCGCCCGCCCGGCTCACCCCGCGGAGGGGGCGTGTCCTCCCCCTTCGGCCACGCCTCCCGCGCCGCCCGGGCCAATAGGCGCGCGGCAGACGGCCCCGCCCCCTCGTCGCGTCACGGCCGTGCTATTGTTATGCAAATAAAAGGGCGGGTAAAAGGCGCGCGCGGGCCGGGGCGCCGCAGAGCTCGGGGCGCGGGCAGCGGAGCGGGAGCGCGGAGCGGCGGGGCCGGGGCGCGGCAGCACCGCCACAGCCCAGCCCGGCCGAGCCAGCCCGGCCCCAGCAGCGGCCGCAGCACCGCCCGCCCGCAGCCGCATGCCCGGGCGGGCGCCGCCGTCGCCGTCCATGCGGGGCGGCGGGGCCCAGGCGGCGGCATGAGCCAGAGCGAGGTGTCGCCGTGCGCGGCGCCGCCGCCGCCCCCCAGCCAGCGGGTGTTCCAGGAGGCGGTGCGGCGCGGCAACACCAAGGAGCTGCAGTCGCTGCTGCAGAACATGACGAACTGCGAGTTCAACGTCAACTCCTTCGGGCCCGAGGGGCAGACGGCGCTGCACCAGTCCGTCATCGACGGTAACCTCGAGCTCGTCAAGCTCCTGGTCAAGTTCGGCGCCGACATCCGCCTGGCCAACCGCGACGGCTGGAGTGCCCTGCACATCGCCGCCTTTGGAGGCCACCAGGACATCGTCCTCTACCTGATCACCAAGGCCAAATACTCCGCCGGCGCACGGTGATGCCGGGGCTGCCCCGCGCTGCGCTCGCCCGGTGATGCCGGGTGCCCCCAGCTCCGCGCTCCCCCGGCGATGCCGGGGACCCTCCCCGCTTCCCCGGCCGCCAGAGCTGCTCCCGCCCCCGCCCGGGGCGGGTTTGGCGAAGATTGGGGCCCCACGCAGAACACGCCACATTTTTGAGTTTTTTGGTTGTTTGTTTGGTTTGGTTTTTTTTTAATCTTCCAAGGGTTGTTTCCTACTGTAACGTGTTTTTTTTTTTTTCTTCCATCTACCTCGGCTGCACTCACAGTATTCACGGTTTCAGTTTGACATCTGGGCAGATGCTTTAACACCCCTCGCCCCGTTCCCTCTCCGCTAATATTTAATCCCCCTCCCCGCCCCCCTCGCTCCCGACCCTCCCATTTAAAGTGTTCTGGCTCAGTAGCTAATTCATTTCAACTCCCCCCGAAGGCCACCCCGCAGACCCCCACTGCTGCTGGGGTCCCCTCTCCGGTGCCAGCCCCGGACCGGGGCGCGATGCCCCGTCCATGGGCTGGGGCTCCCGGCCGGCCGCGGCCTTCCTGGCGAGGAAGAACAGGAAAGTCTTCTTCCTCTCCAAGGTTTTCCCGCCGCTGATGTTTTTTTTGTCGAGGCAACTCCGTTGGAATATGACAGACGTGGTTTTCTCACCCTGATTGCTCCTGGGTTTGGTTGATTTTGCATTGGGTTTTCTGCTTTGATTCTTCCTTGGGTGTCCGAAGAAAGTCTGCTTCCTCACCCACTCCATGAATCTCTTCAGCACACGTGAGATCCCAGGAAAAGACATTGAGTCCTTGTGGTTTTGTGTGTAAAGGGGGATTAGCAAATCCTGGACTGTTTTTTCTTTAAAAAAAAAAAAAAGTGAAATAAACTCTAGAGGCAGAGGATTTGCTTTTGCACAGAAAAGGGGCGCGAGCGCTCTCTGCTGCCTGCAGAGATGCTGGAAAACTACTGAAAAGAGTTTGGGAACTTTTATTTTTTCTTTTGGTGAAACTTGGATAACACTTCTCAATGCAGAACGATTCACTTGACGTACGTACACTCACTCGCCTTTTATAGGAGATATATATTCCCACCGTATATATCTTTATAAAGGAAAGGGAGGAAGCAGAGCGAGCCACCCGAAGGTGCATTTTGAAGTGACTGCACGTATAATCGCAAATGCTGCTTTTTTTATTGCTATGGCACAAAAACATCCATTTGGAAAATGCAGAAAAGTTCAGAAGTCTCCTTTCTCCTGCTGGTCTTTCAGCCCTCTTCTCCTTGTCTGCACTAAAGCCATCCGTATCACTGCCATCTCCCCACTTTTTCTTCTCTTGCTCCCTGCATCCAAACCATTCTGATTAAAAAAAAGAAAAGAAAATAGTTACCTGCTGGTTTATTGGGGTTGTGTCTTACCTATTTATCATGTCTGTATATATTTGTGGGTGAAGATTGTGAGCCTGATTTTGTTTGAAGCTGATGGTGAGTGTTTCAAAAATATGGTTTGGGATATATGCTCTTTTTTTTTTGTTCATTTTTTCTTTTCCTAGTCTTAAAACTAAAAAAAAAAAAAAAAAAAAAAACAAAAAAAAAACCACACCCCTAGAGTCTGCCCTGATTATTTCCCATTGCACTGAATATTCTGCTTTGTCTCTGATAACTTCACCTGCAGTTGTTTGCATTTTGTTGGGTTTTTCATTTGTGTTTGTTCTTTCTCCACTTCACTAATTTGAGATTATTTTAAAAGCTCCAGATTTAAAGAAGGGGAAAAAAAAGCCCTGTCAAAAGTGTCTACTGTTATTGCTGTAATTTGCAAGGAACTGCTTGGCTGAAGTCTTTCTGTGAGCATGGAAGGGGGTGTCCAGCACTTCCACTGGTGCTTCTGTGCGATAGTTACGGGGTGGGAACAAGACCTTTCCTAGTGAGGTTTTATCGTTGTTACCAGATGGTTGCACATTTTTTTTTTACGTAAATGGATTTGCCACAATGAAATGTCATAACATTTATGACATGGTATTAAAAAGTGTATTGTAAAGCCAAGTTCTAGATGGATTTTAAAAAAGAAATCTTGGTTATAAACCCAGTCTAAAGGGAGCTCTGTCCAGTGTTGTAAAGACAACATGATGTAACCCATATTTATATTTTTATAAAATACCTATTAAGACTGTGAATCTCCTGTGTGAATTGCTGGGTGAGTTGTTTAAGAAAAGTATTGTTCCTTTTCAGCCTCCTGGAGCTTTAGACACGCTGAGATTTTTGGGAAACTGTACATTGGGGAAGGGGGTTTGCTCTGAAATTGTGAGTTGATGTATTTTTACATCCCTTTGTATTTTACTGAAAAGCTGCTGCCCTTCCTAGTCCCTAGAGTTTCAATTTTCTATGCAACCCCCACACCCCCATCTCTCTTGATCCTGAGAAGTAAAAGGGATGCAGATTGATTCAAATTGAAATGAGGGTCCCCCCACCCCCCTTGTTGGCTCATCATGCTGCTGACCCTTCACGCCAAAACGGGGAGTACACAGGAAAAAAAAAAAAAGAGGCAGGTGGGGGAGGCTGTTTTGTGCATGACTGGTTGCCTTCCAGCAGTCATTTTTTAATTATTATTGTTATTTTTGTAAGAAGAATATATTGATAATGTCAGTGAAATAAGCAGACATTGAAGCTGATGCACAGATTGCTCCAGAAAGGAGTTTTTCTGTAGATTTTTCTTTAGATGCAAATACCTTTTTTAATTATGTTAATTAATGTTAAGAATTTTTAGGCTTATATTGAAGCTGTATGTGGGTCACTATATGATCATTTCTAACTGGATAAAGTCTGTACAGTACAGCATATTCCTGAGTGTATGATATAGATGTGTAGCCCCAGAGTGCAAAATTTATAAATAAATTTTTCATTGATCTTTTTATAAAAAAAAAAAGGCTGTTTTGTTTGTTCTTTTCTATGTGCTTGTTGGCAATGCTGGGTGTTTGCCGTGGTGGGGGATGGCTGGCTGGCACCCCAGGTGTCTCTTCTGGTGTCAAACCTGCAGCTGTTCTGGGTTTGGATGCACCCCTGGAGGGGAATGGCTGGGCTGGATTTGGGGGAAGTCTGGCTCCTTCCCACAGACTGGAGGAAGTCCCCTAGGCTCAGGGGTGTCCTGGCTTGCCCCATGCCAGCATTCAGAGGCTGCTAGAAGGGTGATGACCCAGACCAAAGCCTGGTGCTGGATGAGCATGTGCTGTTTGAGATGTTCCTAAAGAAGCTGCTTGTTCCCAGGGACTGAGGGGAGAGCTCACAGCCAGTCCTGGGCTGGGGGATTTGGGGTGCATTTTTGGGGCTGCAGCCCCAGCTTGTTTGGCTGAATAGCCCACAGCTCCCTGTGAACATTCCCAGCTTTTTGATTCCAGCCTGGGCCCCAGCAGTGGTTTGAGGCGCCTCAGGCTGTGGGGATGGGGTCAGTGATGTCTCCAGCTGCCCCAAGGAAGGGGCAGAGTGTGAGGGTCAGCGTGGCCTCTCCATCCCCAAAAGCATCTCTGTCCTCTGTCACGGCTCAGGGCGGAGCAGTGCCCGGCAGGGCTGTGCCCCTCTCTGGGGCTTTCCCAGCAGGACCCGGCTGCTCAGGGAAGGGGAAGGACTGCACTGCTGGGCCCTGCTCGAGGCCGGGCTTTGAAGGCACAGTGCAGACAAGCTTCCCTCGCTGGCACTGCTGGGCAGTCGGATTAGGCTTTTTCTCTGTCAATAATTCTGCCAGCTCTGCAAATGCCTAAATCCCAGGGAAATTTGTGCTGTGCTCATTTTGGCTCTGGGTGTGGGTTCCCAGGGATACAAGAAGTGGTGTCCTGCAAACAGAGCAGGGGGAAACCTGGAGAAAAGGCTCAGTGTGATCTTTCCAGGTTGGCCAAACTCCACTCCGATGTGTCAAGCCCCGTGCCAGCTGCTGCCAGCATGGGCCAGTGCCTGGCACAGACACAGCTGGTGTCCCCAGGTGCCCTGGGGACATGCAACCACCTGGGCAGCAGCCCAGTGTGGACAATACAGACACCAAGTGACCCGGATGGATTTGAGCAGAAGAAAGAAGATGATGCCAAAACTATCAGTCACAACCGCTGGTGGTCCTGGAGTTCCTTCACCCAGAGTCCTGTGGCAGCTGACTCCACATCTGTTGGGGGTGTGGGGCAAGCACCACTGCCCTCTCCAGCCATGGCACGGTGTGACATTGCCCACCAGCCTCTGCTGCCAAACCTCGCAGTGGCTGTGCTCCCCCGGGCACACGGTGTTACACCTGCGGGTGGAAATAATCCCAGCCTCGTCCCTTTGCACTTGGAATGTTGCAAAGCCTCGTCCTGGCGCCTGTGGTGGGATTTCACAGAGCTGGGCTCACCTGGCTCAGCTCAGCCCTGCAGCTTCTCACCCGTCACCTTGTCCCAGGGCTCCAGAGAGCTGGGCTGGGCCAGCCACCACCTCAGATTTTTCTGGGGAAACACAGAATTCCTGTGTGTGATTCCTCTCCCCAGCATGGATGGGATGGGCTGGGGTCTCCAGTATCCCTTATTTGGGCACCCCCCTGGAGCCAAGCCCAGCAAAGCCCCTCTGTGTTCCCCACGTGTGGTGGCCCCACCAATTGAAATGTGCTGAGGATACAGCTGAACCCCAACCCCAGGGCTAAGCACCCTGGGCAGCAGCTGCCCTGGTGCCAGGCTCCTCCCAGGGCCCATGGCCACCCTACTTTGCAGCTTTCTTGGACAGAAACCCTGTCCAAGAAATCTAGGAGCTTCAAAGACTTTATTTTTTTACCCTCTTGTTCTTTCCCTTTTCTATTTTTGTTCCAGTAACACAAAAATATTGGATGGTTTGGTGGTGTAAGCACATTCTTCTGGCGTTTTTGCCTGTCCCTGGCTGTGTGTCATTGTCCGTCGGCCACATTACGTAGGTGCTGTTGTTCCAAGAGAAACCAAAGCAAGAATTTGAACTTTCAAGTGCTTCCTGCCATTGTCTTTTGCTTTTGTTTGTGCTGCTGACTCCAAACCAGATGGATCAGACTCCCCTCCGGCTGAGGGGTGATGGGAAGTCAACACAGCCTGGCGAGGTTTGACAGCTTTGTCTTCTCTTCTATTGCCCTTCATCCGTCAAGCCCGGCCATCACACTGAATCGGCTGTCACATATGGATGTGGGGGAGGAGGTGGGATTTTATTTGAATTTCAGGGAGCTTAACACAGTAAGTAATGAATGAGAAAGAAAGACAGAGAGCAGGCAAGCAAGAGGGGACAGGCTGTAATCAAAATTCAGGACATTTTAAATAGATGCTTTGTTGGGCGTTTGTATGACTATGATAATGCCCGACAGTCCAAAGAGGAGTTACCTTTTTTAACAAAAAAAAAATCACAATCAACTTCTGTTCGGTGTCAGTGAGGAGCCAGTGGCTCAGGCTGCCCAGCCAGGCTGGCCTCATTTCCAAACTTCAGGATTTCTTGCCCCTTATCAAGGCATTCTGGGGTCCATCCCGATGGATGGATGGATGGATGGATGGATGGATGGATGGATGGATGGATGGATGGATGGATGGATGGATGGATGGATGGTCAGCAGCACCAGGGTCCTCAGTGCATTGTGCAGGACAGGACAGCTGATGTTTTCAGCATGTTTTTGCTGCTGACCCAAAGCTGCTGCAGTATTTGGTGCTGGGACTGGGTGCAGAGGTCCTGTCCCCCTTTTCCATCCCAGGTCACCCTGTTCCTGCAGCATGGAGTAATTTTTTTCTCTTCTTGGGGTGTACATGAGCTTCACGCACTGCCATGAGGTGAGCATGGGATTTTCAGTGCCACCCCCCACCCCCGTGCTCTGAAATCACTGTCACTCTACAGACCCCCATGCTTGGAGGACGATGTCCTCCCCAGAATGTTCCCAGCACAGTGTAGGCAGCTCCAGTTTCTCCTTGGCGCAGCAAGCACTCCCCGGGGCACACGTGTTGCCACCAGCAATGACACTGCTCCATTGTGCAGGAAAGGAGAAACCTCTTCCCAAAACCTCTGCAGCTGCCATGTTCTTCTGCCATCATGAGCGCCCATCTTTGGGTGCCCAGGGAGAAGTGACCTCTGGGTCTCGCCCTGGGTGGGACACAGACCTGTGGGTTCAGTGGAATTTTTGGCTTTTTAACAGGTTTCTCTTCCTGGGGAGAAATGGTCAACCAGGACAACAACATGGTTTGGCTGGTTTGGGGGAAGACATGGATGGGGTTAGGACCTGGAAGAGTGGAAGGTGCTTCACTGGAGGGATTGAGGGATGGCAGAGGGCCTGGGGGGACCACTGGGGACACGGAGGGGTGGAAGAATGCAGAGAGAGGGGCTGGCTGGGAGGGATGGGTAATAGAGGCCTGGTGGGATGAGTGGGTAAGGGACAGG